ATAATTAAACATTATTAAAAAAAATATTAGTCTAGCAGAAAAGAGTCACTCAGTTTTCATTGTGTTGAGTTTTTATTTTAAAATTTTTACTTTTTCATTGGGAATTTAAGAGGTGAAGCTTAGTATCAGGCTACTTAAATATTTTTTTAAAAAGAGCATGGGATACTCTACAACTATTATTAGTTAATCAAATGCAAAAGAAAACCGGGAAAAGTTAATTTATTCCAAGAAATGAGTGGCCACCCTTGTAGTGCTAAAAGTGAGTTTCTAGCAAAATAAAAATAAAATTTCGTGTGATTATTGAAAAGCAGAGAATATTTCATGCATTTTAAATTCACTACATTTTCATTTACATTTACGAAGGCTGTTCAAAAAGTAATGATAAAACGCTCTACAGAAATATTTATTCAATCTTCCAAATTCACACGCTCTTTTTCGAAGTAACATCCCTGAGTTCTAATCCACTTTTGCCATCGTTCCTGCCGCTTTTTGATCCCGAACGCCCGACCATCTTTCCTGAGCTCCTTGCAGCGCCTCCACAGCTTTGATGACCTCGTGATTGTCCTGGAATTTCCGACCTCTGAGTTCGAGTTCAGGGAATAGAAGTCGCAAGGAGACAAATCTGGACTGTACGGTGGATGGGGGACCGTTGCGATGCCTATGTTCAAGAAATCCACTTCAGTGCGAGCGACGAGCGGCTTCGCTTTGTCATGATGCGCGGCACCCATCTACATGATGCGCATCGCATGGCCAAATCATCGTGCACAATCGACAACGCGCAGCCAATTGAAATGTCTAAGAGAGGCGGCAAGATCTCTAGTGGTCATTCGTCGATCTTCGCTAATAATAGCGGCAGCTGTCTTTTCGGTTCTTTCCGAGTTTCACCGAACATTTCATGTTACAACGTTGCTTCAAGTTTTTGTCCATGCGGGACATGGTAGGCGAATATTTAACACACGTTACGTGAAAAGCCACAAACTACACCGATTAACTTTAAACAGATGGTATTGTTGGCTAAGTGTACAGGTTACACAATGGTATTCAGTGCTGCCACTCTTCGCAACACATTTTCCATCAGGGTCCTTATTATCATTGCTTTTTGAACAGTCATCGTATTTATTTTATTTAATGCCGGGTACCCAGAAAAATAAGAAAAAATAAAATAAAACGCAAGGTCATCAACACAACTACATTTACCGCTGCATTTAAATATTTACTCCCAAAACATTGAAAGACACTTGAAGCAGACAGAGTTCGTTTACGTTCTGCTTTTGACACTAGTGAAAATCAGCCAGATTAGAATTTCCTGAATTACTTGGCGAAACCTTCTGTGGCAGCAAACAGCGATGATTGAGCAATTGACAGAGCTTCTAACAATCTTGCGAAGACAAGCTCCATTGCGTATAGCAGGGGTCTCCAAACTACGACCTGCGGGCCACATGCGGCTCTCGGCAGTATTGTATGTGCCCGCCAACCCAAAGTATATTCTAATGCAATATAATCGTGACATAGGCTGTAACGTGTTATTGCAAGATATAAGAATCTGGTTTCTTATTGTTACTCTCTCTTTGCTCCACATATCAGCCATTTGAGAGACATTTTAATAATAGGTGAAACAAAAATTTTGCCTCAAACTAACTTATTGTTATCATGGAGGTACATTTTAAAATTATTTATTATTCTGTATTTTAGAAAAGACGATCGTAATTAAATTTTGAAATAAGAATATTGTACCTCTCAATAAGTATTAGTTATTACAAATAGTATGTCCCAAATTGTGTACTCATGTGCACATATGTGTTTTAAGAGTTAATTTGTGAATTGTTAACAGTTTTGTCAGAATTTAATTTAACTGATAGGCGATAAATCCCATCCTATATTGAAATTTAATTTTTGGTCCTCGTCTCTTAAAACCTTTCTATGCGGCCCCCAGTAGAAGAAAGTTTGGAGATCCCTGGTGTAGAAGCTCAATTCTACTCAGTGCTGGGATGTGCTAGTTGTGTTTAGTGTCTGAAGTCTGTGTCGTACGAATGGTTAGCTCGACATTGTGTTACAGTCATGCGATGAAGTACAAATGTATATCAGTTTTTTTCTTAAAAATTATTAGTGGGATGCCAATCTAAGAAACATCAACTAAAAATGTCTTCATTGGTCTGTTTTGCGAACATTTGACAGAGAATTTTTCCCCTCAAGGAGCTCTCTGAGAACATTAAAATTCATTCATTATCATGTACATTTTCATACGCTCTTCTGAATTAAATAAATTATTCGTTTGTTTAATAGGTGTTCCACAGAAAGCTGATGTGTCAATGACAATCGGCTTTTGAATCTTCTGAATTATTGCTCTTGGATTTTGAAACTCGATATAGTATGAATTAAGCGATAAATTCAACTTCCTTGCTTTCAGAATCAAGATATTAATTTTTCACTGTATAAGTTATGATTATGATGTATCAAATGTATTTTTTGTATCAATTTGAAAAAGTGTCTATATATCATGTTGCTTTTTATTTCTCCATTTCCTCCGAATTCTTAGCAGCTACACGTCGTATCCTGGGCACTTCATTTGGGAATCACTGGGCCAAATGGACATATTGATATTGACCAACATCGATAGGTGTTGCAAGTTGGTCTCACAATGTAATTTTTTCCTCTTCGCAATGGATTGTGCAAATGGAAGCCATCTGTTGCTCGAATGTTTATACAATGTCGACTCGCCATTTGTGTGCGCAGATGAACTACAGCAGCTGTTCTCAAACTCTTCTCTGTTGAGTTATTTGTTGGGGTTTCAGGAAGAAAACCAAAATATCCGCCGGAGCAGTACCGTAACAAAGGGGCCATCTTTTAGATACCCACATAACTACAGATACACACTTACTATCTTCATTTACTCCGGGGCGTTGTTTAGATATACCGAGGAAATGTTTTGTCGATTAATCGTAGAAGAATGGATTGAGGCCAACACAAGATGAACAAGGTTTTCATATGATTTTATTTATTAAACTAAAGGTACCTGACATACTGGGGAGGGAGCTATAATCTGGGCACCTTTTCTTGAGCTCCAGACTCCTGCTTCATGATCCGAAGAGTTTGGGAACGGTTGCTGAGATGTTCCGAGTTCTGTGTTAAGGGACGTTATGAGAGTTCGCGTAAAGGTAGGAGTTAATGGAAACAGAAAGTACTTGAATCAGACAACAGATAACGCTGACCACTAAGAATATTCACATTATCAATTCCTAGGTCCATAATATAGTTTGCACTCTTTGAACGAATATTAACGTCACTGAAGTGTCAACCATAAGTTTAGTGACAATCTCTCGGTGATCAAGAGCATTTGGTCGAACATCTAGTTGATTGACTTTCTCCACGACACGAAAAATCATAAATCCTGCGCAGAACTCTGAACAAGACAGTGTAGTGTTGGTGTGCATGCTTTGGGGTTTCTTCGAGACTACGCTTAGCAATAGCGTTGTCATGGTGGAGGCATAATCTACTTCTACATTGAAGCTGGAAACGATACATGGTATGTGGCTCGTGTCAGCACTCTTGATATTTGACGTGACGCTGCTTGACAAGACCTGAATAGTGACTCGATTCTTGAAAAAAGAATGACACGTGGTACAACCCTGCAATGCTTTCTCACAATGAATCACATCACAGGGCATGGGGAGGAGGGATAACTGTATTGACAAACATGTGCATTTACGTACGTAACAGTGAATGCTACTCTTTGTGGCGTTTGGTTTCTAGAAAGAATGACAGAATTTGTCAAAGAATATACATGACTGGTCCACAAGAACAGTGATACATCTCAAAAATCGTCATTTTTAGTGAAGAAATTTGTTTAAAAATAGTAAACTTACATTAAAGGTTGATGTCAAGACGGCGACAATCCAGGGTGACACAGATTAAATGTGACCAACTTCTAGAGCTTGTAGAGGGGTTCAAATTGCGACTTTTTGCTATTAATGTATAGTGGAAAATTTCATTGAATGGAGTTACATACGTGATATTTATTCTTGATTGTGAGGCAACCCCGTATGTACAAATGTTTTGCACATATTTGAAAAATCCTTGACTGCCTGAGAACATGACCTGTCGAACACCTATGCAGTGGGGATAGCCCAAAAACCAGGGACAAATGTCAGATAAAATGTAACTCCGTTATACATTTTTACGAAATTTCTCACTATCTTTTCTTTGGTAAAATGATCATTTTCGACTCCTCTACATGCCCTAGAAAGTTTAATATTTATTCTTAGACACATGTGTATTGTTTGTCTTAGGCCGTTAAGCTGGTGAATTCGCTTTGGATAAAATCGTTCTTATGTAATAGGATTTATTTGATGAGTCACTTTTCTTGTTCACGGCCGATATGAGAAAATTAATAGTAGTAATAGTGAGTAATACTATCTCGGACAACGCTGTACACGCACGTTAAAGTTTCACGAAACCTTCCATGTGGCACGATGCGATGAGACATGAGTTAATGCGGCACATTTGAGACGCTGCAATGTGACAATACCGCGACACAATGCATGTCGCGCAATCTATAATGACACCCCTGGCTTGTTACACAATACATCTCACTTGTAACATCACGTGTTATGATACTTGTTACATTTGACACGGTATTTGATACAATACTTATTACAGCACTTGTCACGATACTTGTTACAACACTTGTCACTATACTTGTTACAACACTTGTCTCGATACATGTCACTAGCCTTGTCACGACACTTGTCAGGGTAATTGTCACGACACGTGTCAAGGTAGTTGTCACGAGACATGTTAGGATAATTTTCAGGGTAATTGTCACGACACTTGACAGGATAATTGTCACGACACCTGACGCTACGCACCTTCCTACAAATAATTAACGTAATTAAATTAAGTTAAAGAAACACGTAGACGCGCCAAAACAAACGGCAGGGGTGCACCACAAGACGCGACTTCCAACCCGACTTGCGACGCGACGTTTGACACGAGCGTAACGCATGCAACGCGTCGGCAGTCGGCCCGGCTCCACAACGCGCAATCGCGTCTTTCTCGCAGGCAGCGGCACAGGCCGCAGGCGGGGCCGCCCCAGAACGCGAATTGGCCCTCAAAATAAACCATCCGGATACGAGTCTCCGAACGGTATGTTACGCCTCACAAGATGCGATCCATTTGCACCTGACGCATTGCACGACACACCGGCTCACGCGGTGTCACTGTAGTGCGTCTGACCGAGAGGTCCTAGAGTTCGAATCCCGGCGGTGGCAGGATTTTCGACACTGGCCGCGAAGCTAGGTCGAATTCAGCCGCTGTCTGGAGGAGAACTCTAGCGGCCGGCTGCTCCGATCGGTAGTTTTCCGTGGTTTCTCCGATCAACGCCAGGCGAATGCCGGAGCAGTTCCGTAACAAACGGGCCACGGACCGCGCGCGATCTTTCCTTCCTCATCCTGGTCCTATCCTCAGCCGTTATTTAGACACACGTACATGCACTATACTTAAATACATGTCGGAAATTCAGCCGGGAGCTTGAGGCTTGTCCCGTGTGGGGCGGTGCTTCTCCACTGGTGGGAGATATCTGGTTGGGGAAAACTTCGCCACCTGCCGTGTGGGTCGGCGCCAGATATCGCCCTTAAGTGGGGGAAGATCACCGCCACCATTAAAAACATGCATTACACTTACGGTACTAATGACCTTAGCAGTTGACGCCCACGGAATCACTAATCAATCGAAAGTTCATGACAAGACTGTAAAGACTGCTTCAGCTCACAAATTGTCTGTCAGATGTGGCAGGTAATTGCTAGGACGGATGCGCTCTCGCACCTGCTCAGCTGCAGTGTGTGTGTGTGTGTGCATATATGTATGTATGTATGTATATGTTACAACTGAACACAAGTACATGAACGTGATGTAATATTTGACGTGATATATGACGCGACTTATAACGCATCAAGTCATGACAATTCACGCATCATATGACCCAACCTAGGACTCTTTCGTGACGCATTGAATTTCGACAATACACGAGAGGTTGTGTGATTGAAGTGACACGAGACCAGGAGTGGAATATGACGAAGTGGAATCGGAGTTGTAGATGGCGCCTGCTCAACTTTCCTGGGACTAGACATTCCGCAGGACGCAACTGACATATGTGACGCAAGTGTTGATGCGAAACATGGCAAGTGTCCTGTTTCTAGTCGCTGGGCTTGCGGACCGGCGTGACAGATGAAGTTGAACTTTTGACAGTTGGCACTACACATGTGAATTTGACATGGAATCGTGCATGCGCCTGAGAGGGCGAAGTAATTCATTACGGAAAGATGACGAAAACAAATCCAACGGATTCGAATGAATGACTCTTCGGATGAGAAATTCGATCTAGCGAAAGTGAGGATCGGGCGAATGAACATAACACGACGTTCATGTCACGTGACGTAACTCATATTTTAAAAGTGATGTAACTCATGACACGACGCATGACATGACATGACGCATGAAGAGATGAAAATCACCCTACGCAAGATATTATGACACTGCGTTCGATATTTCTTATGACTAGTATGTGATACGAATACTTGTGAGGGGCTAGCCAAAGACTTGTGTGCTGTCTTCAGACGGCTTCACGACATGTTTCCAGGGCCCGTTATTACACACGTGATGCGATGATGACTCGTGATACATGATTCAAAACCTATGACATGACGCGTCTTATGACACGTGTCATGTAATACCATGACACCTGATATTCGATACGACCTTACTTATGATTCTCTGCGTGACTAGCAATATGACCCGTGACACGTGATGTGTCGCGAGACACGATGCGTGATGTAACGCGTGACACAAAGAGGGCATATGATGCGTTGCGTGACCCGCAACACGACACGTGACATGTGATTTGACGCGTGAGCTGTAATCAGACGCTTTGCGTGTACCACGTGTTACGTGTGGTACGACATATGATATCTGACTTGTCATGTGACAGGCGATACGACACTTAACGTAATTGACACTACGAAAGATGTGAAATCGAACGACGCTCCTCTCCATAACTACCCACACGGTGTGCGGGTGTTTGGCGAAATGACCCGCTTTCGTCAGCGGAGGCCGCGGACGCTGCCTACCCTAGCGGCCCAACCACCGTGACTCGTGCCATGTGGCATGACAGGCAATGAGTTATGACACGTGACGTGATGTGTGACGTGACACGCGACGCGTTATATAACACGTGACGTTACACGCGAAAACACATGACATGACGTAAAACGTAGAATATGACAACGTGCTTGACGGAAAGATGGAAGGATGAACAATGCTCCCCACGACTACTCGCACGGTCCTCGGTGCTTTGTCGACACGTGACGTGAGATATGACACGTGACGCGACACGTGATATGATCCGTGACTTGCGATTCAACACATGACATGATGCAAAACGCGGAATATGACCAAACGTGCTTAAGGAAAGATGTAAGGTAGAACAATGTTCTCCATGACTACCCGCACGGTCCCTCGTGCTTCGTCGGCACGCGACGTGAGATATGACACGTGATATGACCCGTGACTTGCGATTCAACACATGACATGACGCAAAACTCGGAATACGACCCGACGTGATTAACGGAAAGCCAGATGTAAGGTGGAACAATGCCTACCCGCACGGTCCCTCGTGCTTCGTCGACACGCGACGTGAGATATGACACGTGAAGTGACATGTGATATGACACGTGATATGACCCGTGACTTGCGATTCAACACATGACATGACGCAAAACGCGTAATACGACCCGACGTGATTGACGGAAAGTCAGATGTAAGGTGGAAGGTTGCTCCCCATGACCCGTCCCGCCGTGTGAGGGGCGGGCGAAATGACCCGCGCCCGCCCGCGTCGCGCGCTGTCGGCAGGGGGCGGCGGAGGCGGTCGCGGGCGCGGCCAGCCCAAGCCGCCCAAGAGCCCCGAGCCGCCGTCGACGCGCCAGCTGCGCTCGCTGCCGGGCATGCGCAGCGTGGGCAAGCACTTCGACATCCTGACGGCGGCCTCGCTCACCTCCACCACCTCCACGTCCACGTCGTCGCCCTCGAGCGCGTCCTCGCCCTCGGCCAGCGGCGACGAGGCGGCGGGCGGCGGCGGCGCGCGCAGGCGGCCCGGCCCCAGGCGCGGCGGCCACGCAGGGCGCCCCGGCCCCAAGCGGAAGCCCCCCGCGCCGCTCAAGGTACGCCGTTCTCCTCTCCATTCTCCTTCCTCCGTCCGTTCACGCTTTCCCTCTCGTTTCGTTTTCCTCTCTCTTTCCATGCTACTCTTTCTTTCCCTTTCTCTCCGTCCTTCTCTATTATTCTTCCTCTTTTCCTCTCTTTCCATCACTTTCCACTTTCCATTCTTTCCATTTCCCCCTCTTTCCATTTCTGTCTCTATCTCTCTTGCCCTCTCTTTTCATTCCCCTCTATTTCCCTTTCTTTCCTTCTCTTCCCATTTCACCCCTCTCTTTGCATTTTACCTTCTCTTTCCCTTTGACTTCCTCCTTTCCTTGTATCGCCCTATTTCCCTCTTTCCCTTTTGTTTTTCTTCCTTCTCTCCTCGCCTCTCTCTTTTCATTTTCCCCGTCTCTCACCGTTTCCGTTTTCTGCACCTTCGCCCGTTCTTCCGTTGATTCAATCACTTCTTTGGTTCATTCACTTCTCATTATTATTTAACTGTTTCGTTCCTTTATTTACTGATACACGCATTATCCATTCATTTATCTCATTTATTCACTAATTATTTCACTTATTCATTATTTATTCATTGATCCTTTCATTTATTAGTATCTTCGTTCTCTTATTCGCAGATTCGTTCACTTATTCACAGATTCGTTTGTTCATTTATTTATATGTTCGTTCATTGATTCACATATCCGTTCGTTGCATTTCACATATTCACCTGTGCGTCCATTTATCTATTCCTTTACTTATTCACCTATACATGCATTTCTTCACCTACACATTCATTTCTTGACCTATACATTCATTTTTTCACCTATACATTCATTTATTCACCTAATAGTTCATTTATACACCTATACATTCATTTATTTACCTATTCGTTCATTTATTTATCTATTCGTTTATTTATTCACCTAATCGTTCATTTACACGCCGTTTCATTCATCTAATCGTTCATTTACACGCCTATTCACTCATTGATTCACCGGTTCTTGCGTGCATCCACGACTCGTGGCCTGCATGTCGTGTGCGTGCGCGTTGCAGCCGAAGGCGGCGCCGAAGGAGAGCGCGGGCGCGGAGGGCGGCAGCGACGGCGGCGGGGCGGCGGGCGCGGGGGCGGGCGACGGCGGCAGCGCCTCGGGCAAGGGCCCCGCGCCGGGCAAGGTCGGGCGCAAGCGCCGCAACCGCCAGGAGCTCATGATGGACCTCAAGGTACTAGTGATGAGAACACATATTTAATCTAAACAGCGATTCATCGATATTTTGATACTTCGATATATCGATATTTTGATAGATTGTGATTTTGATGTATCAATATTTTGGTACATCAATATTTTGAGACGTCAATATTTTGAGACGTCAATGTTTTGAGACGTCAATATTTTGAGACGTCAATATTTTGAGACGTCAATATTTTGAGACGTCAATATTTTGATACGTCAATTATTTTTGATACGTCAATTTTTTTTGGTACGTCAATTTTTTTTGGTACGTCAATTTTTTTTTGATACGGCAATTTTTTTTTGATACGGCAATTTTTTTGATACGGCAATTTTTTTGATACGTCAATTTTTTTGATACGTCAATATTTTTTGCTATGTCAATATTTTTTGCTATGTCAATTTTTTTTATATGTCATTTTTTTGGATATGCCATTTTTTGGATATGTCAATTTTTTTGGATATGTCAATTGTTTTTGATATGTCAATATTTTGCTACGTCAATTTTTTTGATACGTCAATATTTTGATACATCAGTGTTTTGATACATATTTTGAGTGTAGCCTGAGATATTTTAGAAAATTTGTAAAATGACATATTCGACCAAACCACTTTTAATTTCCTCTCCCGGAATTTGTCTCTGGGTCCGCCCCTGGCACTAACAGTGTCTTTCTCTCGCGCAGGACATGGTGGTGCGCAAGCGGATGGCGTCGCTGAACGCGTCGGCCATCTTGGCGGCGTCCTACTCCGTGGAGAAACGCCCGCCACGCGCCAACCACCACCACCACCACCATCACCACCACCACCACCACGGGATGGGCGCGGCGGCCGGGCCGGCGCCCGGCGTGGGCGTGGGCGTAGTGCAGCCCATCGCGCCGCCCTGCGCCCCGCCCACCATCAAGGAGGAGGCCGGAGCCTTCCACCAGCCCAACTACGACCACGACGCCAGGGACCAGCCGCTGCTGCAGGTGGGTCCGGACTCGGCCCGCCCGCCCAACTGCGCTCTCGCCCCCAACCCGCCCGTTGAGGCGGGATTGTGGGGGATGGGTTGAGGGCATTTGCGAGGAGAGGATTGAGGGGGATGAGGGGTTGAGGAGGATTGTGGAGGAGGAGGATTGAGAAGAGGGTTGAGGGGGACTGCGGGTAAGGGGCGTGAGGGCGATTGCGGAGGAGGATTGAGCGGACGAGCGGGGGAGGAGTTAGAGGGGGATTGCGGAGGAGGGGGTTGAAAAAGGGATTACGGAGGAGGGGATTGCGGGGAAGGGAGATTGCAGGGGGCGGGATTGCGGGTGCGGGTAGCGCGTGTGAGAAGGCGAACTTGCGAAGATGAAGTGAAGCGACTCGTGAGTGGAGAAGTGGATGGCGTGATAGTGGAGAAGTTAGTCGAAATCATTCGGATTATCCGAAAACAAATGTAATGTGCATAAAACAGAATACATTTATAGGATTACCGACAATGCAAACGCTAGCGCGCGATGTGAGGAAAATCACATCGCAGTATGAAGCAGATTCAATTTCTTTACGCAAAAGAAGATAACAGATTTGCAAGTTCTCTCCGTGAAAATTAACTGCTGCATACGCAGTCTGATACGTAGGGTTACCATATGTACCGTAGTTCCAAGCAAATAAACGTGTCATTTCGACCAACTTCTTCAAAAACCCGCTTTTGCACTGAATAAGCATCTAATTTATTTTTGTTAATTTTTCTTCCATCCCAATTTTGTTCTGGGACTCCCCCAACTTCGGATGAGTGAGCGAACACGGTAGCTGTGCCGTGTCACGTGTCGTTCACGGTGTGTCATGTGGTCGTGCCATGTGTCGTGTCATGTGTCGTGTCATGCTGTCGTGTCATGTGTCGTGTCATGTGCTCTGTCATGTGTCTGCCGTGCCGTGTCGTACTGGATGACCGTGGCGAGCTTCTTGTTGGCGGCGGGGCCGGGCCGGGGGCGGGCCCGGGCGGCCGGGCCGGGCTGCGGGGAGCCGGCGGCGAGGCGAGGCGGCCGCCGTGCCGCAGCTGCAAGCAGGCTGCGCCCGGGCCGCCGGCCGCGGCCGCCGCCCGCCGCCGCGGACGACGACGACTGTGGACACTCGTCGGCGTCCGACGACCCCGGGTGGCCGCGAGCTCCTTCTTTCGCCAGCAGCCGCCTGCTTCTTCGCGGTGCCGTGCCCGTGTTGGTGGTGGCCGGGGTGGTGGTGCGTAGGTGGTTTGGGCCGTAGGGTGCCCGGCAGGCTCGGCGCCGGGGAGAAGCGAAAGTCTTCACCTGAGCAGCACGCACAGGCGCACTGAGGGTAAAAAGGCTCCGATGAGCTGTCTTGGACAAAGTGCGTTCGCGGCGGGTTGCAAATGTCACACAAAGTAATGGGGAAAAGATGACGGGGGAGGTGACATGTACGAGGTGACGGGAGATAATGGGAGGTATGTGAACGCGAGAGGCCACCCTACACGGGGCCACTCGGACGGCCGCCACCAAGAAATGCCGCAGCCCCTTCACAAACAGTCACCGCAGAGCGTTGCGGAAAGAAGATTACTTGAGTCCACCACTGAGCGTGCCGGCCGACTGCAAGACAAGCTCTGATAGCGCTTTCGTGTGACGCGGTGTCTGCCTTCGTCTATCTGTATGTTTCAGTACGTCTGCCGTATCCGTCTGTACTGTCCGTCTGTCTGTCTGTCCCGTACTATCTTGTCGGCGTCCTGGCTGGTCCGTCTGTCTTGTCCGTTCGTCTGTCCGTCTGTCTGTCCTCTTGGTCTGTCCGTCCTGTCTGGTCCGTCTGTTCTCTTCGTCTGGTCTGTCCGTGATCTGTCCGTCAAGTCTGTTCTGGTCAGTCTGGGCCGTTCCGTCATATCTGTCCGTCAGTCTGTCTGTCAGTCTGTCCAGTCCGTCTACTGTCCGTCTGTCTGTCTGCTGTCTGTCGTCTGTCCGGCTCTGTCTGTCAGGTCCATCTGGTCTGGCCCGTCTGCCCTGCCTTCCCGTGGAACCTTAGTGTAAAGGTAGCCATTTAGAATGGATTGGTTGTGACGTGTCGCAGAAAGCACGACTGCGCTGCTACGGCGACAGTTTGCAAACGATCCCACCACAGCAGCAGCCATTGCCCACCGTAGTGTGAACATCTCCATTCAAAAGTAATGTTTGCCAGGACGCAGTATTGCTTTGCCAGGCAGGACACGCCACAGGGAAGAAAGCCGTTGAGTGGCTGGGCGTGAAAGCGAGACTGTAAGATCTCTCTCTTTTTC